TTTTCTTTGGTTTTACTATTGCCTGCCTCTGTTTCTTTCATCTTTCTTTCTTTCTTTTTTTGTTTTTTAATTTTATCCCGATCCTTTTGCTATTACCAAGACATGATTTCCACGCACCTAAGCAACATCATGGTCCATAGCCCTTTAGGCATCCTTCTGTACCCAATAATGCAGACAAGATGATAAAAATTATGTAAAAGTAATTTATATTAATTTATTCTTTGTTATAGTAAAATTTAAAACATTATATAATTTAAATAATTTTTTAAATAAAAATTTATTAATTAAAATTTAAATAATTTTTTATTTTTATCTTTAATAAAATCATTATATTTTTTAAAATTAATTAAATAAAATTATTAATTAAAATATTATATATCATTTAATATTATATAGCATTGACATAAAAAATAAAAAATATAACTTGATAAAGTAATTATGTCATAACAATATTCATTATGAGATATCATTCAATTGTGTTGTAAAAGTGTGCAAATAATTAAAATAGTTAGTTCGATTTAAAATTTTTTTAAAATTAAAAAAAAAGTAATTTTTTTAAAAAAAACCACAATACTAAACCGAAAAATGTTGATAACCAAAAATCGAACTATTGCGATTAGTTTGGTTCGATTACCAAAAATTGAAACTTATGAGAAATACACTAAAATAAGATATATGTTAGATATCAAATAATGTTTGATTTATTTATTTGAGCTCAAATCCGTATGATTTTAAACATAATTTCTTCCCACCTTATCTTAATTATAATAAAAGTTAGAATTTTTTAAGAAAGAGACTTGTGTAATTAATAAAATTGCCTCTCTTTGTATAAACATTTTTCACTTCTATTAGTTTAGTTGAAAATTTTTTTAATTAAAAATTAAATCAATTAAACCATTATAATTGAACATATTTAATCGAAATAACTAAACAACAAACTAATCAAATAAAAAAATTAAATTTATTTTAATTTGAATTTGTAGGTTCTTGATCATTAATATTAACGTGATATAAAATTATAAATAATATTTAAATTAATAATTATTTAATTAAATATAATAAAAATTAAAAATTTATTTAAAATTTTTAAAAACATTATTATTATATCATTCAGAAACTTTGATCACAGGAGTGGTATGAGAAGAGCCGCGCTGCACAGGGCAGAATCTCAAATATTTAACAAGAAGGAAAAATCGTCACCACGTCCAAAATCTGACAAGAAAATGCCAATTGCGCTTCTCAAAGCTTTCCAAAAGAATAAAAAAAAATATACTCCATTAATTAATTTGTACCCCATTTCTCCTTCCCCATCCCGTCCTTTCTCCCTGTTACGTCACTCTCCTTCCCCTGTTGCCGTTAACAGGATAGAATCTAACGTAACCTCTCAATCCTAAAGTTTCTAACTTTACCAGCTTCCTTCAACAGACCAACCAACAGTTATCATTCTTCCACCGGCCGCAGCTAGCAGCGGCAGCCCTTTCTTTTCTTTACCCCATCAACAAATATTTTAGTATCAAGAGTAGAAATCAAATAAACATGTTAATTCAGTCTTTTTTAACCATCAAAACTAGTTTTCATGTATGAATTCTTCACCTTCATGCACAAGTTTGCAGCACTTTTTTGTTACTTTCTATATATTATAGTATTATAGTTTAATTAATTACAACCGTTATATTGTTAAGATTTTCGCTGTCTCCAGTGATACATCATTATTGTTTCAAAGTCGTTTTTGATATTAATTGTTGC